ACTTAATTCAGTATGGTATGCTCTGGTGTATGCAATAATGTGGGTAAAGCATAATGGTAGCATATTGCCAATTGCACGTAACAACGAAAGAGAAGTTGGATATTTCGAGATGACCACAAGGTTTTGGGTTGCTGCAAATGCCGTCAACAACATTCCAAATGGTAACATGTCATAAGAACGAGCGGCTATCCCAGTCAGTGCATATTCGACGGTCAAAAATAAACCAAGTTGCGAAGGTCGCCAACGAAACAGGTATTGCGTATATATGAAGTTCTCTTCTCTATCAAACCACCACGTAAGGACAAAAAAAAGAAGGAAAGTTTCCCAGGATAAATGTCACGCCTAATCGTGAATCTTACCTTGCAGCCATTGGTAGTGTACCGACGTAAAATACCAGCGCGGGTATAGGCATCATCCAAATCGCGAAATCGTTTTGATAACCTTTTTGCGAACGAAAGTTCAAATAGACCAACCCAAATCCGAGAATTGTAACAGTAATGACCAAGACAATGATCCAATATTGAAACGGATCCTCATCATCTGTTGCTATTAGTGCGCTGCTAATAGAATATAACGCGGCGTACTGGATTGTAAGAACGTATAAAAACGTAGTAATCCTTCTTCCATTCTGAGAACCACAATGTTCTTGAAGGAAGATTTTTTCTTCATCGTTAGGGAATTTCAAGGTGTACTTGTTGGTGGTAACGGCTGTTTCCCACATTGGTAAAGGAGGGGATGGAAATAGTGCTTTTTTTTCCCGACGATAAAAGGAATATATACACTCTGGGGGAAATCAAGTTGAAAATTATCGTTGGTGATTTACGAATTTTTTTGGAAGAACTCGTTTGTTGCTTATCTGCCTCATTCAAGGCATTGCTAGATAGTTATTCAAACAAGATCCGAAATACCTGTTTGCAAGCAACCAAAATAAAATGTGCCATTATAAAAGATGAGGTCATCAAGACATCAAATTGTCATTAACGCTGAAAACGATATAGACGAACTGCCGAGAGCAAATGGGACACGAAGCTATTGATTTATTTGAAACACTTCAATGTTTTTTCCAACTACTTTATCCAACTTTGATACAGAAAAGCGATTCGGAGGAGTAATCAGTGAAAGTGTTGTTTTCGAGACCGCCACGGCTCCAGGATCGGCTTTTTCCTGTATCAATTCGGCAACATCGATAGTCTCGCCAATTAGTTCGTATTTTAACTTGCTTAAGCCACCTAATGCAGTAAAGTACAGTATAAGTGAAATAACCGTTATTCTAATGACAGAATAAGACGTACCTGTAATAAAGCCTGCAGCAGGACCGGAATGGATCCCGACTCGGATTTGTATTTTTCGATAAAAACCCTTGCCAAGGCTCAAAGAGCGTTGCATCTCCAGTCCTACCTGACAAACATTGCTTGCCGATGCTGACAGTATCTCATTTCCAATCGAAACAGAAGTTGAAAGTTTCGCATCAGCTTCCGAAACACCCAGGCTTGCTGCAACATAGGCATCACCAATTTAAAATCTTTTCTACTTTATGTGACTTGCAGATTTGGTCAAAAGCGGAAAAAATTGAATTGAGCAGCTTAATAAGATCATCTGGTTCCAGCTCTCCCGATATTACTGTGAAAGAAACGATATCGAGATGTAACACTGTTACCACTAACAGTGCATAAATTTGTTTTGATTTAGTTGAGGTTTGATGTGGGAAAGATAAAGGAAAATATAACTCACTCGAAAAGGTTTCTGCGGTCAAGTCTTCTGAATCAAGAGAGATGTTACTAAGACGGATAATAATCCTTTTGGGAACTACGGCTTTCAAAAGTCCAGCAGAAAGAAATGCTCGCGCATCAAAATTGTCTTGTAAGGTGTGTAAAGTTCCCTCAGCAAAAATCCAACCCTTTCCGAATATTCGGTCTGGTAAGCAATAAACATCGATGTCAACACAGATGCCAAAGCAAGTAGCCATTCCACATATTTTAACTCGAATAGCGCATTGCGAAGAACGCATAAAAGTATGTTTGAAGATAGTGAGCATACAAATCGCGTCCGAAAATCCACATTCATTCTTGTTGTGAATGAAATTGCAACATCGAGCATTGGACTTATGGCAGCAGCAGCAAACCAAGTTTTTGAATATGTGGTACTCAGTAGTAAAGGGATCCCAAACATAAGTATAATGCCAACTTGCGTAAAATACTGTATACCACCACGTTCGTTGGATGATCCAAAAAATATTCTCAGTATCTTCATACTTTCCAACGGTTGTAAAACTTTGGGTCGATAGACGTCAACTGCTAACATTAGTACGGCCAGAATTTGTAAGGAAGCTGTGAGAAGTATTGTCGCCAGGGATATAAATCTTCCCGATTCTTGCATCTTAGTCTCAGCCTCCTTTGTGGCCGTCGCGTTTCTGATCTCAAGCTCAATAGGAATGCCAACTTGACCAACAAGAAAAATCTCATAAAGCATCACCAGTACGAAAAACCCGATCATCATAGCACAAACTGCTCGTCCATGGTGCAAAATATATCCATCCAACAAATGTTTGGCGCTCTTCTGAAAAAATCGCTCAATCCTGATATCCCTGAATTTCAAGCTTGTTCGAACAACGTGGGGTGACAAAAGAACTTTTAGTGTATCCGTGGTAGAGGTTTCTAGCAGTGGTGCAATATGATGGATGACGTCCTGTAATCCTGAAGATATATGTTTGGTTGGTTTAAGATCGTTTAGGGATAGTTGACTGGTCAAATACTTGGAGAAGTCGACATTGGGAGAAGTTTGAATCTTTGTTGGAGGAACTCTTGTCTCTAATGGAACAACCGTAGTTTCGGACAGAGGCATCGTAGCCGTTGATATTATTGTAGGAACAACCTTGTTCATTTTTCTGAACGCTGTTGACGCACGTTCACTCTTAGTGACGAAGTCGGCTGTCGTAATCGATGCCCTTTTCAGTGAGGAGATGCTTGATCGAAAGTTCTGTAGAGTGGAAGTGTTTGACTTTTGTTGATTCTCTTCCACATTTGCAAATTGATACACGGGAAGCTCTTCAGCGTTGAATTCAAGTTCGTAGACAATCATGTCGCCCTTTCCTTTGATGTTAACATAACCCTTTGACCGCCACTGAAGCTCTAAGTAAAATCGTGTCAGGGAATGTCTATTGAGTCCTCGATGCATAGTTCTTGAATATAATGTACTCAACTTGTGCTTGTATTGAACGAGTTGTATGTATCCAAAGTACAGGCAATATGACTACCTTGCAGACCAGCCATTCTGCTGGCTAGTCAAAACCGTTAAAAATTGCAATAAGTAACTAAAACTGAAAAATAAGGAAATGAATGAAGGAGGAAGACTAACCCAAGTTGACTTTGTCAGAATATATGTCATAGCAAAAACTTTCGTGGCCGACCACACCAGCCACGACGGAACCAAATGCAATGCCGATTTTAATATCACATTTGATGCTGATGCCGAGTGAAGTGCTAGCATGAAAGGTCCGAAAAACGGCCTTAGCCAGCTCTGTTACAGTCTCGCCTAGATCTTGATTTTTTTCTTCACGAGCAATCGCCAGTAACAAGCATTTGCTGCCAATAGTCTGGGGAACGTTTATATCGAATTATGTATTCAGTTAAAAACAAAATTTGGAGGTACCTTAACTTTCACTATCATTGGGAATCTCACTAGAATCCCATCCATCTGAGCGAATGTTCTATTCAACGTAAGAGCAACAAATTCTGCGGCCATCCCCTTGATAGCACCAGATTTAAAAAATTCCACGAACATGCAATACGATTTGTCGTAGCGGTCTGTAACCGTCGAGAATTGGAAGTTGCTTGCTATGAGACGCGGAATGACCGACTGGGTGGACAATTAGGTAAGCATCTGAAAGAGGCGCGCTCGAAAGAAAGTCAAATAAACTCTCCACCATCCTACCTTGGGCAAAATGTTTTCCAATAAGCTCTTCACGGATTCTTCAATAAGAGCCAGTCTTCTGATGGCAGTTTGCGCTCTCTTTAAGCCATCAAACTGTCCCCTGAATATTAACTCTGTATGATAGGCTCGAACAAAACAAATACAATGAGTAAACAGCCCGGTCGCCACGCCTCCAAACAGTCTTAAACCAGGTGTTTCCCCAGGGTATTGAGATGCAATGTAAATGTTTTCAGCGAGGTCCATCAAATTGAAAATTGACACTAGTGGAACTGTGGCTACCGCTCTGGTGGTGATTCCGACAAATGTGTAGATAAACGTTACGAAAATGTCGCCGGACAGAACCCATCTTGTAAGGTAATCTTGGTATATAAGGTTATCTTGCCTGCAATACCAATGGAAGGTCTGAATTAGCCATTAATTCAAAAACATTGGTTGTTGTTGACATCAAAGTTAAAAATGTTGAAACAGACCGGATGACAAAGGGAAGAATTGACAAATAGCATATTATAACAGGTACGGGCAACCAGAACCTCCCGTGATCATTTATATACCCTTCCTTTGACCGAACCAACACATATAGAAGTGCAACCAGGGTACCGCCCACGGCAAGACTAGATGGTAATATCCAATACAAGAACGGGTCCTTATCGTCTTGGGCAAACAGAGCACTCGTAACCATAAATGAAACGCCGTATAAAATAGACAACACGATCAAGGTTAATGTAATCTTTCTGCCATGTTCCGAAGCACAATGCTCGCGAAGGAAACATCGTTCTTGTAGTGGCGGAAACGTTAAAAAGTAGGGATTCACGTCGACCGGCGTTTCCCACTCATTGAGCAATTCTTGATGGCTATCGTTGTCGGTCATGCCATGGAAGTTAACACATAAATATTAAAAATAATATTTTCCCATGAAAACAAGCACTGACCCCTTCGTCTTTGTTGTTTTCGGTATGGAAAGTGGCCAAACAGGACGCGATTTTCAGTGATTAACAACAAGATCTGACGGTACTTATCCAAATACGCTTTTTCTCAACGGTTTGTATAAGACTTTGCTAATCTTTTTTCTTTCCCAGTTAGTATAGTGGCTAGTATCCGACCCTGTCACGATATAGAAATATCGCCAAACGGTTGAGACCCGGGTTCAATTCCCGGACTGGGAGTTCACTCCATCATTTCGTCCGTTTTGGGACGGAAT